GAAAATCATTGTTTTCTGAGACCATGAAGGCTGCTGGCACAAAGATTGTCCACAATTGCAGGAACTGGCAGCTGAGGCAGTGACAATGGCAAGATTCCCCCAGGGGCTAATTTGCTGCTCAGGATCTACTGCAGTTTAATCCCACCAGGAGACCAGGCAGTTCTGACCCAAGCACCATCTAAAGGTGTCTGACTGCTCCAGGCACAGCGTCACCCAAAGGGGCTCCATGTTTCTTGCCCCCTGAAGGAAACCTTCCCATTAGGTTTTCCTGCACCCTGAGGCCTCAACGTTTTACAGTAACAGAAAAAGCCTGCAGGCTACGTGTTTTCTTAGAAAGTAGAGAGCTTTCTAACAATTAGAGCTTTCTAAAAATGGAATGCATTGCCTTGGGATATTGAGTTCCCTGCCTCTGGACAGGGTCCATCAGTTGCTGGTGACCAACTGGCTGGGACATCATAGAAGAGACTCAGCACTGGTAGAAAAAAAGATCAGATGACTGCGAGGATCCTGCCCAGCTGAACGATCTAAGAAAATGAAGGTGATATCCACAAAACTCGAGAGAAAGAACACTTTTGCCTCAAATCATCTAATCATTTCAGGGGGAACAAATGTAGGTTTTTCAGATTGCCCCATTTGCCAGACAGACACACCCACACTCTCTCATCTACTTCCACAAACCAAGTATAAACAGTTGGAATCCCGTTATAACAAATAACTATGGCATCATCCAAAATTTTCGGAGGAATCTTTGGGCACAGGCTTCCTATTGACGGTAACCCTCCAGGAAATAAAAAGCTAGATAATAGCTTTTGCAATATAAATACTTGAGGATGCAATATTTGCATTATTGGGGTCAGCTGACCTGTTCATAAATAAAAAAGTAACCACAGATGTGACTGAGCCCATCATATAAGCGTTCCTGAAAATCCACACGGAATACCACAAGGTGGATTTAGTAATGGTGTTAATTTCAAGGATAACGGAAAAGGATCAGACCTGCACAGCCTGGGGCAGGTTTCCTGGCTACAAACGTAGAAACGTTATGCCCCACTGTGCTGGTTCCGGTATCATAAGCTCACAGAGTACTCTGTGCTTTATTTCATAGCATTTTGCAATCATAATTACGTAGCTAATTATTCGTTTTGTTGTTAATGTCTTCAGGCTGCAAGTTCCAGAAAGACAAGGCTGTCACTCTGTCTTCAGTGCCTTGGACTTTAATATAGCAGGTGTTTTAAAAAACCCAAAAAGCCGTATTTACCGAATAAAAGAATACCTACCCAGCCACTGGATTAGCAAAAGTGAAGATATGAAAACAGGGGAGACAGATGACGTGGAGAAATGAAAGTGCTCGTACACTGGGTATGGAGAATTCAAGGAGACTTCACTGCATGGGAGGTTCCGAGATGGCCTCTCTCAGGATTTAGCACAAGTTGAGACCTGAAGAGGATTTAGTCAAGCAAAGGGGACAGAGAGTGTGCATTCCAGACAGAAAATGGCACGTGCAAAGGCCATGAGGCAGGATAGAGGCTGAAAGACTTGAGAAGCTACACGGAAGCCAGAGTAAGAAAGAGAACAGCAGCACAGGATGGCCCTGCAGAGGCAGACGGGGCCGGATTCCGTAAGAACTTGCGGCAGTGGCATTTTATATGAAACTGGAGGCCACTGCTATACTTAGGTGGGAGGGTACCATGGAGGAGGCAAGAGAAAAAGCAGAATCCAGTAAGAAGTGACTATGGTAGTTCAGATGACACCGCCGGCCGAGCGCTAGGGGTGGCCCGAGCCAGGCTGGGAGCAGCGGGGACCAAGAGAGGGAGACGGAGATACCAACGAGAGACACAACAGACAGAAGTCGGCAACAGAACAGATACAAGGTGAAAACGGCGCCAAGGAGTACACCCGTGTTAAAACAAAAAGACTGCTCATCTGCAAATCATAGTATTTACAATATAGTTCTAATTTTGACATTTAAAAGTACATAAAGTTATTCTGAAAATAAACTGTCAAAAAGAATAAAAAACTGCAATGGATTAAAACATATGAAATATGTTAAAATTCATGAGTTCGTCACAAAACAATAACACAAAAGACAGAGAAGGAGACAAAGTGTATTAAAGGCTCTAACGGAGGAGTGACAAAAAACGAACTAAGTCAAGGATACATGTTGTAATCTCTAGGGTAACTGCTAAAAGAATTTGGAACAATGTGACAGATGCCAAGAAATTTTTTTAAAAATATTTCATTGATCCAAAAGAAGGCAAGAGAGAAAAATGAATATAAAATAGGTGGGTTAAATAAAAACCAAGAGTACTGTGGTAGAAACATCCTGCCATTTTACTGTACATGTTAAACGACAACACAAGGATGTTTCCAGAATGTGGGAAATTCTATAGGACAAAGAACCTGATTTCCTCAACCAATAAATTGCAAGGGAAAAGGGAGGGAAGTAGGGAGGGTAAACTGTAGATTAGGAAACACTGATCAAATGCAACGTGTGCACCATGTCTGGATCCTGATCTGAATTAACCTACTGCTAAAAAAAAAAAAAAAAAAAACACATAATCAGAGAAACTGGAACCCTGAGTGGATAACGATTTAAAGGAATTGTTTTTAGGTGTGATAATGGTATTATACTTATTAAAAAAAAAAGACTTCTTATACCTTTTAGAGAAATAAAAATGTAATGAAGAGATTACAAATGACATGCTATGTTATCTGGGACTGGCTTGATAATAAATCCGTCTGATGAGGGTGGAGGGGGCGTGGGAGAGAACAAGATGAGCCAAATTGTTAATAATCACTGATCCCGGGAAAATACACACATGGGATTTACCACACTATTAGCTCTACTTTTGTATTCATTTGAATTTTACTGGGATATAAAGTATAAAGGAACAGAGGGAGAAAGGGAGGGAAGGAGGATCTCCAGACAGGTACGTATATGCAGAAAATGTTTTGGCAGGATAGGTTTTAAAATGTTCAAGTGGGTTATCTCTGGGCTAATGTGATCACAATTTTTAGAAAGTGTTACAATCTCATCTCTGGGTGAGATGATGACTGGTAATTTTTAGTCTCTTTTTGCTTAGCTATGTTTTCTAATTGTTTCTATAATGAGCAAATCGGAATGTTGATTCAAAAATTGTTTAAAAAGATAGAAGGAAAATTGCCAAAAAACAAAAAGCCTCTCCCGTTACATAGATGTTGATGCGTAAATCCACATTTTGTAACCGTTTCTGCGTCATAGCTTGCAATGGACCGAATGTCTGTGTCCTCCCCAAATTCGCAGGTTGAAACCCTAATCCCTAACGTGACAGTATTTGGAGGTGAGGCCTCGGGGAGGTAATTAGGTCACGATGGTGGAGCCTCGTGATGGGATCAGTGCCCTCGTAAAACAGACAGGAGAGAGTTTGCTTCCTCTGTTTCCACCGAGGACACAGCAAGGGGTGCCCATCTGCAGAAGAGAAGGCCCTCACCCAAACCACACGCTGCTCGCACCCTCGGCTCAGACGTCCAGCCTCCAGGACTGTGAGGACTAAATTTCTGTTGTTTAAGCCACTCATTATCATTCTGTGTTAGGATGAGCACACAGGCCTTTTGTAGAATCTGATGAAAGCTACTCTTTCCAGAAAAATGCATACTTTTTCATAAAACGTCAAGAAGCTGAGACCCCTAATGAACCTATAGGCTTTCTATGTTGTTAGTAGTTACGATAAGTAACAGTAATAGCTGACGTTCACTGCATACCTGCTACGTGCCAACCACGGTTCTAAGTGTTTTGCAAGCGTTAATCCATTTAATCCTCCCAGCATCCCTACCAGAGGGACACCCTCATCACCCTCATTTTACAGATGAGGAGGGTGAGGACAGAGAAGATGAGTGATTGGCACTAGGTGCCGCAGTTGCTGAATGGAAGAGCCCGCTTACAAACTCAGGCAGCCCGGCTCCAGAGCTGGGCTCTTAACCAGCAAAACATGAGGCCACCCATAGAGTTTAAATTAAATATACCAAGCAAATATGACGTCCTGAACCATGCTCTGGAGAATGTCTTCAAATTCAATTAACGCTAAGTGCCTACCATATGCCACAACCGTCCAAATACATAGGCTCACCAAACCCTCAAACAGCACCGTGACTCGCCCCAAACACCCAGCTAACTGTTGTAGTATGAAAATAAGAGTCAAACCTGTCTTCTGACTTCAAGTTCAACATACGACAGCGGATTCCCTCGAAGTTGGGGTGGTGGTCTGTTCTAAGCCAAACATGACCTCCTCACAACCAAAATCTTTCCAAGATAACTTGTCAAGGTCTAATTCACTAGTTCTGTTTATGAACCTTAAAATCTGACCATGGGGCAAAGCAACTCGACATTTTAGGAGATTTTCCTTCATTACTTTGCTTTAGCCCACTGAGACATCCTGGGTGGACACACGCTTGCGGAAGTTTGCCCTTGGGTTTCACAGGCACAAACAGGATTGTCCACATGTACCGAAGGCAACTGCTGAGTGCTATGGTACCGCACTGCACTCACACGCGACACGGTCCGTATAAATGCGCACACGCAGGTTGCACGAGGGCCCCCAACACTTACAGTTTCACAGTTCAAGCATCGAGTTTCATTGGTGAGCGTTCCCTGAAAAATCTCATGAACCCAGGTGAGTTCCGGTTTATTATTCTCCGCAGGTTCGTTCATGTTGCCATTTTTTAATTTTCCATTTTGCTTTTCCTGTTTCTTCTCTTCCTGCAGGATGTCCGCAATAGTGTTTAGCAAATAATTTAAAAATTCATGAGCATCCTGCTGCATGTAGTTATCAAAGAGATCTGGAAAGGAGAAGGTCGTGACTTCAGTCTCCGGCTCTCGAAAAGCAGATGAGCATGCTTAGTTTTACGTGCCATGCTTCGGTTTTTACACTGAGTGGATGGACAGGTATGGAATACAAATATATTCATCTCTACTACGCGGCTTCAGTAAGTAAGTCCCAAAAGAATTTTTGTTGGTTTCCATTTTCTGCCACCCACCAAGAACTAAATTTCCCCATCTCCCTAAAGTCATCGTGTTTATAAAAAACTACCAAAATTTTTATCTGTTCTACAAAAGAACAGAAATTACCTGATAAATTCCCTGATAAAATGTCAATTTTTAATGTGATGTAACCACCAGTGATCAATTATTTATTGGGCAATTTATCTAGAGCAACTGGGGTCTCTTCTCGAAGACCATACTAAACCCTGGACCAGCCTGCAAGCAGCTTAAATGAAACACATAAGGGAGGTGAGGAATATGTGTGAGCGTGTATCTATCGGATAGTGTTCTGACACCAAGCACAAATGATTCCGGAAGCCTATTGCTGTTCCCTGCCATAAGGACAAACAATCAAGAGATGAATGCAGCTGCAAAACTTCATTATTAATCATGTCCACAACTAGGCCGAGAGTGCTCTGCTTCCTTCGCTACCCAAATTATTTTTATTCTGCTATGTTAAACTCTAACAACTTCAAAAGACAGCAATCAAATGAAACAAGACTTTATAAAACAAACGTCTGATTAACTGTGCAAGTCTGCTGGAATACAGGTGAATCCAGGATAAACATTAGTTGCCAGAATCAAATATTTTTACAGTCATAAAAATTACCAACACAAAACTTCTGGAATCCACACCTTGTTTCTACCACCACTCCCCCATAAGAAGACAGAAAAGCCAGAAAAATTAGGACATTTTTTATCATACAAAGCTACCAATTTGATATCCTTCAATTATCTTAGGTAAATAAAAATCAGAGAAATTATTTTTAAAACAGCAGAGGTGCTGATTAGATAATACGCACTTACTATTTTATTCAATTATTGCACCAACCTATTTACTCCAATGAGTGTCTCACCCAGAAGGCTGCCTTGGACAATTTTTTCTCTTACAATGATCCTATCCAGAATGCAGCCAATAAAAAGATCATTCTAAAATGGGATGACAAATCTGCATTTTAAAGCATATTTATTAATACAATCCAGTGTTGTTGTAGGTATACTGGGTAGAGAAGAAATAATGTTTTTTTTAAAAATGGTACTTGAGTAGCTGCCCACACTTATTTCCCTTTTCAAAAAAAACCAAAATCACCAGCTCTTCATTTGGAGGATACACAGAACCCGTCGGTTTTCCTTATTTCAGAGCAGAGCCTTATTAAAAAGGTCACATTGCACACTCCTCGCTACTCACCGTTCTCTTTTCTCAGCCTTGAAATGAACTTCTTTGGTGGGATGACGCCAACCTTCTTCTTCTGCGTGGCGATGCTGTGGAAGAGGTCTGCCAGGCACGTCAGCAGGTTTTCCTTCTTTTTTTGCTGGGCCTTGTATGCCAACACATTCTCCCGGAACGGCCGGCAGAAGTACAGTGCCTGGAGCACGGAGTTACAGTAGCATGTGTTTCCAAACTGCCAAAGGACAACAGGGACGGTTCAAGTCATCTTCTGGGGACGAGCCACCTCTGGAACAGGTGGAGAGGGTAGAAGGGCCACCACCCTCCACGACCCGGCCCGGATCTCTCCCCATCGGAGTCCCGCTCGCCATACCAGAAAACTAGTTCACGAAAGACCGGTGACAATGTGATCAACAGGGAAATGAATAAAAATGCTGTAGTCCTTGTGCTTCTCTAGCCCACAGAAGTCTCTAAAAGGCTAATAAACACTCTGTCTCGATAAAGAGTCTAATGAGACCTTCTGGTGCTTATAAAAAGAGGGAAGAAGTATCTACATAATATGAAGACCCAGGAAAGCAGCTGGCTAAAAAAAGATGCCACATTTGCAACACATCGAAACTCCCATGACGGGGAAAACACAAATCCAAGTCAAAGAGAGATCCAGCAACCACGAACCACTCGCTGGGCTGAAACAGCCTGAACTGAATGGGGGCTGGTTTCCATTTCTTTCTTTCGAGCTTCCAAGCGACCCTGCCCACAGGCTCAGACCACACTTCCTCACTTGCCCAGAGCAACAGAGGCAAGAAGGGGCCTCCTCACGTCCCCCCTTCCCAGCTCCCCACCCTCTCAACTTCCAAATTGCCCTCGATCTTATTTCTGCCAAGGTGACAACTGTCCTGGACAATACCACCCAAATTCCTGGTCTCCTGCAACCAGACTGGGGCCCAGCAGTAGCATGTGATACTCTCGCAAAGCGTGGACACTGAGGTTCTGATAACAGGGAAACGATTTCGCTGGGTTTCAACTGACTGGAAGACCAGCTCTGGGGAGGGAACACAGCAGAGACTGACACTTTAGGATGCTCTGTGCACAGTAAAATGAAAAGGAAAAGATTCTAAGGAAATAACAAGATTAACACCACGGATTACGAAATGCTACGTAAGATTAAAACAGAACAGGCACACCTTCTCAGAACTGGTTGTTGGCTTGTGTGCCGTTTCCCCAAGAGCAAACAGATGCTGGGCCAGCTTAACATGACATTTCTGCACATGCTAAGACAGAAGCCTTCCTATTTTTACATTTTAATCTACTCTGACACAATTATGTAACAGGAGACAAACCTCCTTTTACAGAGAAGCTGGAACTTCGATAAATCACCATTCTAAGGGAACCCAAGGAAGCTATTAATAAATACAGATCTCACAATTCTTCCACAAACTAGGGAATGGACTTAATGCTTTTTTTCTCCACAACCTGCACTGGCGTTTTCCTTAGCCAGCGCAGAATTCCCACTGAATAACTACCTTCACTGGGCTAAGCAGAGGCCTGTGCATAATGGCTAAAAAATTTGTATTCAAATTAGAAGTATTTCACCAACACGATGGCCTGTATTCCAGGACTTTTAGCTTTCTTCCTTCTATTCTTTCTCTTCTGCTCAGTATCTCACCTCTACCCAGACACCCTTCAGTAATGCTTGGCCCTGACCCCGGAGACAATTCCTAGGAAAGAAAAGGAGCTAACATTTACCAAGTGTCCACAGTGTGCCTCAGCCTCATGTCAGGGTCTTAAACAGGAGCTCTCATTTATCCTTCATTATAACTCGAAGAGTAGAAACCATTATGGTCCTCATTTTATAGATGGGGAAATGGAGACTCAGAGAGGGCAAGTAACTTGCCCAAGATCACACAGCTAGTGAGCAGCATAGGCAGAATTCAAACCTACATCTGTATTACACTGAAGTCAACATTCTTTCCATTATATCACAGGCTGCATTTACTTGCGGAGAATATTTCTAACTTCCCCAGTGGAAATTACCACTTACCACATCTATACACTGACAGACTATGCTCAGAGCAATTGTCCAGAAAACCAGGTGTTTATGAGTTAATACATGATGTTACTTAAAACCTGCACCCCAGAGAAAAAGATCAAATAAGAAAGAAAGCCCATGAGGGTGGGGGTACACTGCCTTCCTACTTGGTTATCATCAACTTACCAAGGAAGCAGAGCCTGCTAAGTCTAGCCTTACGCAAGGGTGCTGTTGCTGAGAACAAGTAAAATGAGGCCAAGTAATGCTTTTTTAAATTTTTTTTTTGAGATAGGTTCTCACTCTGTCACTTGAGCTAGAATGCAGTGGTGTCATCCTAGCTCACTGCAACCTCAAATTCCTGGGCTCAAGCGATCCTCCTGCCTCAGCCTCCCAAGTAGCTGGGACTACAGGTGCGTGTTGCAACGCCCCATTAATTTTAATTGTTTTTTGTAAAGATGGGGTCTCGCCATGTTGCTCAGGATGGTCTTCAACTCCTGGGCTCAAGTGACCTCCTACCGCAGCCTCCCAAAGTGCTGGGAAGACAGGTATGAGCTACAGCACCAGAAGGCCAAGTAATTCTGAGATAAACTGGTCCCAGCTTTTCCCACACAGCCAGTCCTGCTCTAGGTGCCACCACAGAGTTACATGTTAAACAGCTACTGGTGATCAGCTGGTGACTCCTAAAGCTCCAGGTGCTGACGCCTACTAAAACAGACTGCCTGGAGAGTTCACCAGACAACAAAGGGAGAACAGGTAAAAGATCTGGCTGAAAAGACGAATAAAACCACATTAAAGTTATGTGTGCAAAGGAAATTCTTTAAAGCACAGGGGAGAAAAATGCGAATTTGGCCCAATAAGGCAGTAATTCACACGCTGACTACATGTGAGTTATATTTAACTCAGGCTGGTTTTGAGCCCAGGGCCAGGTGAAGCAAAACCCTGTAGTTGTTTCCGGGAAACCTTACTTGCTGATGTTCTTATTGTTACAGTTAATACTGACAATTTAATTCTAAAAACGTGGATTGCACTGCATATAACTCACATGTGGAAAACAATAAAAAATAACAAATTAGGAGCATTCTGTTTTAACGAAACACTGTGGCCCCAGGGAAAACACTTTTTTTCTCTAGTGTGGCAGTCAACGTGTTAAATTCTTTTTTCTGGGAAAACTCACACTTTCAACAATAGATTAAATTGCCCCCTCCTCAACATTTGCCACTTCTACTAGCTAAACAGCATGGCCAATTATTTAAAAATTGGTGTTGGGGCTGCACAGCAGGAAGCCGGCGAAGCTTCATGTTTATTTATAGCCGCTCCCCATCGCCCGCATCACCGCCTAAGTTCTGCCTACCACGCCTCCCCCTCCACCATCCGTGGAGAAACTATCTTCCGTGAAACCGGTCCCTGGTGCCAAAGGCTGGGGACTGCTTGCTGCTCTAAAACGTTTGATAAAGATAATACATTTTAAATACTCACGTTGACCAATCCAAAGTAGTGCTCATTGATCGGAAACTGCTCTGGACCAATGTCTTTTTCCAGAGCAGAGGCATTGGTGCCCTAAAAGAGAAAAACAGCAAAAGTTCCGTCAAATGTAGAAGAAACAAGAAAGTGAAATGATACCTAAGAGAGTCCACTGTCGAAGCGAGCATCTCCCCTGGTCGACAAGGTGTTTGGTCATGTTCGTGCTGATTGGAGAGGTGTCAGAAGTAAACCAGAAGACTAGTTAATAATGTCAGCCCTATTCCTCTCCTCAGCCAACGTAGTTATCCCCCCAAACCTGTTCCACTTGCCTTCAATCATCTTCTGTTAGGAAAGGAGGCTTAAGATAGGCAAACAAGCAAACGAAACTTCTGAATAAAACGTTGCCATTTCAGACAGCTGCAGCAGCTTTCGTACTACTTGGTGGCACAAAGAATCATATTGCCACTTTCAAAGTCCATTTCTTCATTCTGATAAAGACTTATTGCATCCCCACTAAGCCAGACACTATTCTCTAGGTCTAGGCCCAGGTAACAGAACAGCGAACAGAACAGGCACGGATGCCTGCTCTCGCGGAGCTCACACTTTAGTAGATGAAGACGGCCTGAAACAAAAAGCATGTTGGACGGTGCATTAGAAGATGGTAGGGCAATGGAGAGAAGGTAGGAAACAGGGCAGGAGAGGAAGGGAGCAGGGGTACGGGACAGGCTTGCAGGTGGCAGAGAGTGGGTAACTGCATCTGTATATAAAGTGGTTGGGGAAGGCCTTCTTGAGAAGGCAAATGTCCAAAGAATATTGTGAATAACGAAGAAATAAAATTTAAAATCTAACAGTTCCCAAATGCATCAAATTGGTAAGCTGCATGAGACTCCACCATGATCATAACGACAGCCACTGGGTACTCTTACTATGTGCTATTTATTCTTACAACAATCCTGTGAGCTAAGTACTATTATTTTTCCGATTTAACAGATGAGGAACTTAAGACTCAGAAGGGTTGAAGAATCTACCCAAGGTCCACAGTCAGTAGGTGGTGGAGTTAGGATGTGAACCCAGGAAGTCAGACCTGGGAGCCCACAATCTTACCCACATGCCATGCACAGCAATCCAATCGGTTAAAGCATTCGCTGAGCCCCACCAACGGTCAGCTAGTGGCATTTGATCATTGTGACTCCCCAGGGCCTGGCTGAGTCTGCTGCGATGAGAAAAAGTGACCAAAGTTCAGTCCATTAAGGGAAGTAGTTTAAGGAGTGGGTGGGATCAGGCTCTATCACCATTTTAGCGAAGTCTCTGTCTATTGTCACACCTTCTCCGGCTGTCATGGAACACTCAGAGGTCACAGACACTAAAGGATTCAGGAGACAGGTGTTTTAAAAAGAATAAGATACTTATGTTTTATTAAAAAAGTAATGCATTGCTACTACTCATTCTTGACTTACATAATTAGCATCTCATCTCAGTAGGGTGAGAACCTGGCAAAATGGCCACTTGTCACCAAGCAAACATTAAAATGCAAAATGACCCAACTCTAAGCAAACACGACCATAATAAAAACTTGGCACGCTGCATCGCCTTATCATAACATCCTTTGTTTCCACTTGTTTTCTAGTTCCTTTGCACTGTTCCACCAAAGTAATAAATTCCTTTACCCGTCATCTGAGACTCCGGGTTTGGTGATCATTTGTGTGTAGGACAGTTTCAGTATCTTTTCTGTCGTGTGTGTGGGGCGGTGGGGTGTGGCTGGTCGCCTTCACAATAATGTGACTCCACAAACAAGGCTGGGTGTTTGAAACACATCAAATGACTGCAGGATTTTATGATATGGACAAAAATCACTAAAAAATTCCAATAAAGTTATATCTCAGCCATGAATCCATGTAAATAATGCACATTAAATACACCTATAGCCATTTTTCAAGCTAAATTGGAAAATACGGCGTACAGCCCGGGAGGAATGTCGGATACAAAAGTATAGTGCACGGAGACAGAGCTCGTTAACTCTCTCTCTCTGTTTTTTTTTTTTGAGACAGAGTCTCACTCTTTTGCCTGGGCTAGATAGAGTGAGTGCCGTGGCGTCAGCCTAGCTCACAGCAACCTCACACTCCTAGGCTCAGGTGATCCTTCTGTCTCAGCCTCCCGAGTAGCTGGGACTACAGGCATGTGCCACCATGCCCGGCTTATTTTTTCTATATATATTTTTAGCTGTCCAATTAATTTCTTTCTATTTTTGGTAGAGACGGGGTCTCGCTCTTGCTCAGGCTGGTCTCGAACTCCTGAGCTCAAACGATCCGCCCACCTCGGCCTCCCAGAGTGCTAGGATTACAGGCGTGAGCCACCGCGCCCGGCCTCGTTAACTCTCTCTTTACAAGGTGGCAACATACTCAAGTCAGTCCACGATTTTGGCCATTTGGAAATCCCTGGGTTGGGTCTACTTTTCTCTATCTTACTATTTCCTGTTTGACTCATGCTAAGGACAGAGACCCAGGGGCCGGTGCCCATGAGCAAGGCCTGGGGAGAGGCAGCGGCCACCCGGGCAGCGTGCCCGGAGCAGTACAGCACAGGGAAGGAAGAAGGCGAGCCGTGTCTCCAGTGAAACGTGGCTCTTCCCAGGTCAAGCCTTCCTCGCCACCCTTCGGGTCAAGCTTGCTCACCCTCTGGGTCTGGACGGGTCGGGAGGAGAGGTGGGCCGGGCCCCGATCCTTGGTACTGCTTCCTGCCCACTACGCCGTCACCCTCTTGTCAAAACACCCCCTTTCCAAGGCGCTGCCTCCCAGCACGGTCCAAACGCCTTCCTCACCCCTCGTCTTGGCTGCCCCCTTCTCGGAAGACCTGCCTTTGCACCCCGGCTCTTGCCATCCTCCTGGGCGGCCTCCACGTCCCCGGGATGAGCCGGCCCACATTTGCTCTCGCAGCAGCTCGGTGTCCTATTTTCCAGCTGTCTTTTATTCACTCCACTTCAGCCGCCCACTCCCAGAGACACCCTGGATCCGGGCACCAGCCGACACGCTCGCCTGCAGCTGCCCACGGCTCGCCCGGGCTCCGGGTCTACGGATCAGGGTTTCAACGGCTTTTCTGAACACCCGCTGCCCTTTGCCACAGCACCTGGCAAAACCCCAGCCGGTATGAACCAAGCATCCACCTCTCTGAACACACACGCAGACAAATGTTAGAGGGGAAAAGTCAAACAACCAAGCGGACCAGATGCACCGCACTTCACCGAATTCAAGGAGCCCTCGACACATCCTTGACACGTCCCACAGGCCAACGTCCCTCTCCTCTCCACAGTGACTATTCCCAACTTCCGCCAAGCTCCCGGTATTCCGCCATCCTCTTCCCCCCTCTCCCTGGTGTACCACTTGACAGAAAAAAAAGTTTTTGTGACCAGCAGACAGGGACTCCCTACCTGCCTCTCTCGCGGTAATGGTGGAGACGTCTCTTTTGTCCAAGGCCAATCTCTCCTCCTCTACCGGGTCCTTCCCATCAGAATCAGCATCTCCCACGTGAAAAATACACACTTCCCCCAGGCACCACCACCTTCTCACCGCCCCCCCAGAGCTAGACTGTTTAAAACAACTGTCTGTTCCGAAACATTTACAGATGAATCGGATGATTTCTCAGATTTATTTCAGACAATCGGGTGGTGAGGTGGGGGGAGGAAGGGGTGAGGTTGTGCTACTGAAGCTGAGCGGTGAGCGGGGGCTCCTCCTGCTGCTCTGCTTATCCCGTCACGCACGTGAGTGGGACGCAGGAGGGTCAGGGGCGGCGAGGAGCTGCGACGATGGAAACGGAGGCCAGCCAGGGAGACTGCAGAGGCCACGCTGATGACCGTAAAGACGGAGAAAGGGGCCAGGAGCCAAGGAGTACAGGCGGCCTCTAGAAACTAGAAAAAGCAAGGGAACGGATTCTGCCCTGGAGCTTGCGGAAGGTGTGCAGCCTGGCTACACCTTGATTTTAAAACATGTGACCTTCAGAACTGTAAAATAATACATTTGCATCTGTTCAAGCTACTACATTTGTGGACATTTTCCACAACAGGAATAAGAAACCAATATGCTCCCTTCCCGACCTCTGTTCCCCACTCACAGCATCCTGTATGGCTCCCGTATCTGTCCCGATTGCTACTCATACAATTGCTAACATCTGTCCCATCCCCCAGACTAGACACCTCATGGGGGCAAAGGCCGCGTCTGATCTGCCCAACACTGCGACCCGCTGGCTGACACACGGCAGTCCCACGGTGCCTGCCGGATGGGGGGCGGATGTGGGGACACGGATGTCTGAGTAGCCTCCGCGTGTGTTGGTTTGGACACAGACGTGTGTGCTCTCCCCACGTGCTGTTCAGCGAGGCACAAGTGCTACCCTCCACTTCCCCATCCTCCCTTCCCTTTATAGACACACTCTCAAGAACTGGTTTCCATGGATACAGAATGTCACTGATATTGACATCTGGAACCAAACTCTTGCTTCGCATGCTAGCATTTTCCATTGGTAACGTGAATCTTTGTGCATCTTTAACAGATTTGGGGATTAAATATGTCAAACGTAAATGTGTTTTCATGATAAAAGAACATACACATGATGGGGAATGTTTCATGAGATGCAAGTGATGATAACTGCTTAAAGATTAATTAGGCAGCATCATGGAAAGTTTAAGTGACCATGTCCTTCAACCCTGCAATTCTACTTTCTTTATCCTACATATATACTGGCGCAGGTGGAAAAAGAGATAAAGACAGTAACACAGACCCAAATAATGAAAGCATGCCTTAAGCAAGACCGAAATTTATTTTTCTCTTTCATGAAAATGTTCAAGAGGATGCGGTGCAGGCCTGATATGGCGGCTCCACAGTGCTGGGGCTCCGGCCCCTTTCATCTGGCTGCGCTGTCGTCCTCGAGAGTCAGCTGCTATCTCCAGAGCCAGGATGGCGACTCTAGCTCCCGCCATCAAATAACCTGTGCCGGGGGTAGCAGGAACAAAGGGAGAGGACTGCTCCTCCCGTCTCAAGGATGCTCCTGGAAGCTGCGCACATCACCTCTGCTCACAGCCCTGCCGGCCAGAGCCCAACCTAGACATCCGG